TCTCGTACCCGTACCCAAATTCTGGGTACATTGGGTACGACCTCTCGTACCCGTACCCAACGTACCCAAAATATGGGTACCACACCCGTACCCATACCCAAAATACCCATACCCACGCATCATCTACCCGGGTTACCCGGGTACATCGGGTACGACTCTCGTACCCGTACCCAACGTACCCAGAATATAGGTACGGGTACGGGTCCTGTACCCAACGTACCCAGAATATAGGTACGGGTACGGGTCCTGTACCCAACGTACCCAGAATATAGGTACGGGTACGGGTCCTGTACCCAACGTACCCAGAATATAGGTACGGGTACGGGTCCTGTACCCAACGTACCCAAAATATGGGTACCACACCCGTACCCATACCCAAAATACCCATACCCACGCATCATCTACCCGGGTTACCCGGGTACATCGGGTACGACTCTCGTACCCGTTCCCAAAACGTTGGGTACAACTCCCGTACCCGTACCCAAACTCTGGGTACGTTGGGTACAGGACCCGTACCCGTACCTATATTCTGGGTACGTTGGGTACAGTACCCGTACCCATGCCCAACGTACCCGAACCCTACCCAACACACCCTTGTAAATCTTGCACACGAACGCGTACGTGATGACCATCCGGGCACGCACCCGGGAGGTGCCTTCACCTTCCGACCGCCTAACACCGAGCCGCCACAAACTACCTCCATGCCCCTTGTCGCATTCTCGCAGCGCTCTGGAATGAACCGCCTGTACCCTCAGTACCGCTTCTTCTTCGAGGGGCGAGGAGATCAACTCATGATGGTGGCGCAGAAGTGCAGCAAGAACCGCACGAGCAACTACCACGTCTTCGACATGAACCGAGGAGGTTTCCAAACGGTGAGCTTCCGGCATGTGTAGAAGGGCGAAATGTTCTCACCTCGCCATGGTACGAGGACTTGATCGGAGAGGGGTGTCAGATCGGTTCCGCTGCTAGACCACCTCTGTACTTGACTTGAAAATAGAAAAATGGTGTCAACGCTCCTAGAGGGTAACGGTGGAAGGTTGGGCGGACAATCAGCTCATTAACGACATGAGACAACTGACACAGTGTCGGCTGGCCCTCGGTCAGGGCGATCCGCACGCACCCGTTCCTCGTACACGATGTCGACTTTACTTACAGGCAACAACAACAAACGTGCCTTCCGTCTGATGATTTTGACCCGTCGATCCGAAAACACGAAAACAAGGAATTGCGGTTGTTTTCACGGTAATGTCTTCTGTAGGTACGCACACGCTGAGCGACTTATCTCTGCTTTCCAACACGCATTTTTTGGGGAATCGATTGTACTCCTCAAATTATCCCGTCTTTTACCGCCGGTTAATTGCGTTCGTTTGTTTGCCCCACAGCGTCTGAGCAAGAAGAACGGGAACTACTTGGGAAAAGTGAGGACTAACCTCAAGAGGACGGAGGCTACCGTCTTCACCAACGACCAGGCAAGTAACTTGGGTACAAAGGAATCTGTCGGGAAAAAAATCGAAACAGGCGCGCTGTGCTGTGCACATCGTGATTTCATCGTTATTTCGTATCGTCACAATATGCCTTTCCCACGAAAGGAAGTCAAACACATCGCAATGACGTAGTATTCCGCGATACGATTATTGCAGGATGATCTATATCAACGTTTGTGAGGACGATTTTCGGGTGCATTCGGCGGGGATGGTTGTATCGGCGAGAGGATCACACGATTATTCAAGCTACCAACCACGGAAGCTTTTGTCGCCGACTCCCCGTTATAGGCTTAGTGTGTCGGTATCGATTGGGCCAGCCTCACTCTTGTAGGTTGTCGGGACCACGACACTGACCTCTATTCGTAACCGAACAACGCTCCAACGTTTGCGAAACCCGAATCCAAAAAAATACTTCTTGCAGGAAGTCGCCGAGCTTGGGGCGATTTCGTTCGACAAGCCTGGTCTGGTCGACCACTTGCGAGATGGAAGCCAGCCTAGGAAGTTCACGGTCCTGTTGCCGGCCCTGGATTGCGACGGCTCGCCCGTCGCACACAAGGTGGACCCTTACGACGTGGACAGCGACATGGTGAGAATAGAAAATGGCGGACGCCGCCGTGTGGCCTCTCTAGACTAGGCTATGCCTCCTGGGCTCGTGGAGTTTCCGCTCATGTAATGGTGGTGGTAGTGGTGGAATCAACAAGGAGCCGATTCGGGCTGCGCATACTTGTAGAGTCTATGGAATATTGTCAGGGCGAACGGTCAAGCTGCCAGCACATTCGAAGCCCGTTCCCCTCACCGACCCCCTTGCCTCCCTGTCCCTCGCACCCTCCTTGTAGCTGTCGCGCATCAAGCAAGGCCGGCACGGCAACATGTTTCTTCTTCAGTCGAGGGAGCCGACCTACACCAAAGGAAACTACCGCCTCAACTTCCACGGGCGTGTGACGGTACCGTCCGTGAAGAACTTCCAGCTCGTCAGCCCCGACGATACACTCCACACCGTGTGCCAGTTTGGAAAGGTACGCACCATGATTGGCGGCGGGAAGTAGGAGCTCAGCTTGGTGTGAAGGGGTCTCGCACATATCTGGAGTGTACAAACGACAAATCTGGTACTGTATGCAGCAAGTAGATGTGGAGTATCACTGCGGCATTGTGTTTGTCAGGAGCATATGGATAGATGGTGCGTGATCAGACCGCGTGAAAGCAAATGCTTCGCTGGTTACTGGCGATCCGGCTTGAGCCAGAAACGTACCAAGAATCTTGAGAACATTGTCGCCGATCACGAGACAATCCTATTGTGTGTTTTAATATAGCGGGTCATCTAGAGAGGGATGGACGCGTGCGCAGTTCTAAAACTTAAAAAATTGTCTGGCGCCGATGATCTGCAGGTGGGAGAGGATCGGTTCCACTTGGACTACCGCGCCCCCATCAACGCCTTCCAAGCCTTGTGTATCTCCATTGCGCAGTTCAACTTCTGATGTGCAGAGGACTGCGGTTTCCTCCCTCGAGCATAACAACAGAAGAACCGGCCTTTCGCACGCAAAAACTGGATTTCCGGTGAAACTTATGACTACCCCATACAGCACTGAAGGAGGATGGTCACCTGGATGAGGACGGCCGCCCGTCGGAAAGACTAGGCAAGGTTACACCTTCTCAGGCTGCAGTATCTATCGAACGAAAGCTGTGCATACGATACGAAGAGGGTAACCGAAACGAGATATTTGCTGGGTTTCCTCTGGGATTGATTGCCTGTTTGTATTTGTCAAGACCACTGGCTGGGTCGTTCAGTTGTAGTAGTCTAGACTGTAGCGGGCGGTCTTCCGTAATCTGTTATTGTAGAGATATGGAATGCGTTGTTTCCAGACGTATAGTCTACATGTACTATCGGAGGACGGTGCCTTTCAGCCGCCGTTGTCGCACACGAATGAATCCAGCTGACCAGAGTTTTTTCTCCTATTGCCCTACAGTAATACAGCAGTGGGTCCTTGTGCAGAACGGCAGGCATCATGTGCTCCCTGTTTTCTCTCATCATGGTATGCAAATAGCCGTGCTGGCGAGTACACTTGAGCACCATGAGTTTTCAAGTTGTGACCAAGGCATCGTTCGAGACTCTAGACTACGTAGACTAGCCTATGCATGTATCGAGTTTTCAAACGCAACTCAACAGCAGTGCTCGTCCCACTCTACATATGATGACATCTGAGCACAGGGACAGCCAAACTGCCGGATAATGTTTGCGGGTGTCTACGGCGGTATCCACTTGTTTCGTTGTTGTGGCCGGTATAGACTAAGCAAGGGGTTACCACGGCGTGTTTTCTAGCTACAACGGTAGACAAGTACAACGGTAGACAAGTAGTCTAGACTATAGTCTATAGTGTACCAAATGAAAGATATTGCACATAAATTGTTGCTGACAATAAGGGTATCATTGGGCCATGCATGGTGTAGACTTTGACTTGTAGATGTAATCAATGCCATTCTCCTCAACCAGTGGCTCTCCTTCGAGCCTTGGAGGCACACAGATTTTGACCGCTGTTCTACGGAGAGATTATCTGAGCATGAACTACAATTCGTACGGTCTACGTAGTTTAAACAGACATTGCGTTACTCGCTGAGACGATGGTTTTTGGCCACTTGTGCTTTTTGTGTGTTGGAAAAGAGAAGACGGTGTGATACTCCAATACTTCAACTCTCGGGTCTATACTTCATCGTGAGTATGCATACATAAATCAAGACACGGACAAGACGCCGGAGGAGAGTGGACGGCAGTGGACAGCACTTGGTTTGGGTTTTGAGAAGAAAAAATCGGGCGAGACTGTCAACTTTGCAATCCGCAACGTGCATCAGGATATCAGGATATCGATCAGGATTCACCACAAACCAGGCCTTTCTTTTCGGTGTAATACTTCAGTATATGGCTGCTGTAGGAATTATCGCTGAATGTGACACGAGGATTTGATCAACGGTTGGCCTATGTACCACGATTCGTCACTACATCAGAAAAGCACGTTCACATACGTAAGAAGGGGCGAGCAAGAGACATTGATTTTATCTGCAAACAAAGGAGAGACGGACAACATCGTCCAGTTTTCGCGCCGGGGCTGGTGTCTGAATGTATGTTGGGGCAACGGTCGGTGCACCACAGTGTAGGAGATGACAACGGAAACAACGAACATCGCGACGCGAAAAAGGATATGCGGTGACGGCATATGCACGAATCTTCAGAATCGCGAGAAATTCGGACGACAGCGGCAAACGTACCGTCGAGATCGTACTCCATAGTTTTGGATCCCTGCTTTTTTTTCGTCTTTTTGTGGCGGTGCGCGAATTGTGTTGTTGGTCCGCACACCATACCAAGAGGCAACCATGTGAAAAACGTGCAACGCGAGTAACAACCAGCGAGCATTTCTCCCTGGCCTTATTGCTTCGCTCGTCTTAGGTCCACGGCTTGGAGAAAACGAGAGAAAAGCAAGCCGGGCGCGAGCGATACCGTCACCCACCTCACGAGGCTATCGCGGGCGAAGATCTGGCGGAGGGAAAACGCGGGGGCTAGGTGCTGCTGCAGCCGTGTGAGAAGAGAGGAGGTAATATTCTTGATGGGTCGAGAGCCTGCCAGGAGGTGTAGCACTGCCTGCCTATGCGACGACGACGGTGAGGAGAGAGACATGGGCGACTTGTCGTGATGATGCGCGGGGTTTGAATTTGAATGCCACGCGTGTGTCCCATCTGTGCCTGTCCTCTCTCTCGGTAGTGCGCCTCTCTCTCGCTCTCCCTCTCTTCCGCTGTCTGCCTCTTCCGTCCGTCCTCGGTCAGCACTCTGCACTCTGAGGTTTCTATTCATAGGGTAGACGACTCTGCTTCCTTGGTATGATACCCCGCTCATTCCCCATCACCTACCGTTCGTACGTACGTAATTTGATTGCTTGTACTTGTATGTACTTGGTCCCAAGACGAGACCAAGAGGAGAGACTAGGATGCATACGAATCTGTGTACTACTGTAGCCTGCTGTATACATGGGATTGAGAAGTACAGCTGTGATTTGTTTTGCTGGTGCTCATCATGCATGCGGTAGATCGGAACATGCGTAGAATGCTGTGTCTCGTGTAACCGATATATCGACAAGGGGTTTGCGAATGTGTAATCTCAACAGCAACTTGTAATGCGAATGTGCCCACCGTATTTACACATATTCTACATTGAACGCAACCCATATAGCCGTCCTCATTGTTGTGCTGCATCATTTGTTCATTGTCCTACTGCTGTACGACGGTAAGTCATTAGTTGGTGCTATCGGAGCCAAGAGAGACATGGATACAGCCGGAGCGGTTGAGGATCCAGCCCAGCGATCATCTGGCCAGCAGCCGCAGCAGCAGCAGTGGGACCGCTTCGAGGTGGTCCTGTCGAAGCCGTCCGGTAGCCAGAAACTTGGAATGGTCCTGAAACATGCTCAGGTGACTATTTCGCCGTTTGCTTCACGTAATTGCTTTGAGCAGCCCAGTTTTCGCCGTAACCCCCCCGCCCCCCTCGCAGCCTTTCCTCCCGCACCCCCCCCCCGGCACGCACATAACCGACAACATTAATTAGTACTCCTGCTTTGACTGAAACACCCGGCCCTCCTGCCTCGCCGTTTCTGTAGCACTGCGGTGATGTGCATTACGGACGGTGCTCCGGTTGCCTTAGGCTACCCCACACCCACAGGTTTCAGTAATAGTAGTACAATGTCCCCATGTTTCTTTTGTACAGCGTATGCTGCTTGAGTACGCTATATCGATCGTCGTACACAGACCCGGCGCGTGCATGGGTCGACGACGCGTCGTTAACCAAAGAGGTTTGTTATGCGTTCTCTAGAAGCAGCTTAGTTATGTTTTTAATAAGAGTACACCATGCCTCTCTTGCGTTTATGTTCCCCCGCCCATCATATACACTACAACTTGCACCCACGCACGTCGTCGGCATCGGCGCTGGCAGACATGTGTCAGGAACTCAAGAGATGGGCGATGAGTCTCGCAGTTGGCTTACCAATATTTAATTGTCGCACATCGCATCTTTTGGATGGTCGTCATTTGACCGAAACACCGTCACCATCCACCCCTTGTCATCACATTTTCTAATGTAGGTTTTACATTTTGCTTGCCTAGAGAAGTTTTTTGCAACGATAGCCCCGTGTCCTTTCCTTGGTAAGGTATGTGGAGAAGAGCGCCTCAAGAGAGGGGCCTATCTCGCCGGTCTGGCGGAGGGCCCGAGCCTGGCGCAAGACCTTGGCCTCTCACCAAAGGACAGGCTTATCCTCGTTGAAGGGTTGGACGTCAAGACGCTGCCGTTCGACCGCATCGGTGAGAGAAGAGCGACAGACAGCAGTCGCACGCGCGTCTACGGTATTGGAGGAGGTTTTTAAGTGACAGTGGCGAACCTGAGCACGTGGTGCTTGAAAGTAGCGAGATCGGGTTGTTGTTATTGTTGCTGCTGCTGCTGCTATCTGCTGACTGGTGTTTGCAGAGTTACCGTCACACAAGCGAAGGTGCGAATATCTGCATTTTTATTCCCGATCTCAAATGTTTCTGTCGGCACATTACGCATATGCATACCCTAAAGAGACAGCAGGCGTCTACCCACCCCTCATATTCCCCTTGCTCTGTCTCTTGTTGCAGTTGGACTCATCCGAAAAGCGACGTTCCCTCTGACTCTGGTGTGGAGCAGGCAGAGAAAGGCCGGAATAGCGGTGAGCGTCGCATCCCTTACGCGAAGAAGACCGCGCAGGGGGGGGTTGCCTGAGTGCGTTCATGTTTATTCCTACAGTAGGAAGAGTAGAGAACCCTTGCTGCAGATGTCCCGCAAGTATGCATACAGCAGTGAACAATATCATCTCTTCGTCTGCGTCCCAGCAAACCTCTCCAAACTCTATACCAGTAGTCGTAGTCGTACGATAGTACATTTTTTGCCGTGCCGTTTCTACAATATACACACCGTCCGAAGCTTTTGTCTGCCGATCTATGCAAACGAACGGTGGCACCGACGGCCCTCGTCGAGGGATCGACTTAACCCCCACCATCCGGCCGGTCTTTTGGGGGGGGGCTGTTGTTGTTGTTGCAGCAAGCGACTCTCCCCGGCACGGCGATAAGACAGCAGCCCCCCCCCCCCAACAGGGACGGCACGCCCCCTCCCTTGCCCTCCTCGGTGGCGGCCTCGACAAGTGTTGATGTTGCTACCAACAACAACAACAACAACAACAACAACAACAACAACAACAACAACAACCCCGATGCCGCTGCCACGGAGGACTGGGAACGAGCGACAAGTAAGGGTCGCGCGGCCTCTAGGGCCGCTAGAGAGGCGGAAGGGGAAGTGCGGGGGGGGGCGGGCCGCCGGAATCCGCGGGTCTCTTCCACCGATGCTTCTGAGGACGTGGCCGCTGCCGGGCAGCAGCAACAGGTGCAGGGGGAATGGTGACGTTCGGAGGAACCCCTTTGTTCCGATAGAAGAGGGAGTTTGTTCGTCTCTTTCGGTTACGGCCAAAGTTGCCTGTGTTTCGAAATTCGTTTGTGTGGGTGTACTCGTCGGAGCTGTCCGTCGCAGTCGATATGAAACGTTCGGGACAGCAGTGTTGACAAAAGCGGCTGCACCAAGGGGAGACAGGCCCGCGATCCTCGACTGCTGTCGTAAGAATCTCGAGCAACAGCTTGCGGGCGATAGGGGTGAGGCTTTCCTAAGATTAATACAGTGCGTAAACCCTACCCCATCATGACAGACGCAAAGGGCGCCGATTGGAGAACCAGTTCAAGACCGGCAACAGCAGCAGCAGCAGCAGCAGCAGCAGCAGCAGCAGCAACGGAGTAGCAGCGGCAGCAACAGAGCACGAAACACCACGGTGGAGGCCGCAGCGTACGTGCCACACCTTGAAGGCGCTGTGCCCATGGCGCCGAAACCGTCGCCGGCGCCTCCCACGACGGCGACGAATGCTCATACTCCAGCAGGAAACGGCAGCAGGCGATCACCCGCTTCCGTAGGCAGAAAATCAAGGGAGGCGGCGATGAGCTTGCAGCAGCAGCGGGAGTTGCCGCGGGAAACTAACTGCACCGGCAAGGATAGCGGCAACGCCAGCGGCAACGGCGGGGGTGGCGGCAGCAGCAATAGCACCGACGCCCCTTTGGCGGCGCAGGTGGGTGGGGGTAGGGAAATGTCAGACGCGGAGTGGGTTGCTGAAAGACTGCGGATGGAGAGAGAGCGCAAAGCGGACGCGCTGTCGGTTAAGCCGTCGTGTGTTTAGAAGGAAGCGTGATGGCCATGCTGCCAATTGTCCGGCACATAATTCGTTCCTGCCGTAGTGTGTAATGTCGATACCTGAACAAGGCAATGATTTGGCTGACGAATCCTCGAGCTCAAGTGAGCATCGGGGCGACCTGAGGGATCGGCGCCCACGGCAATAATCACTCGACGGCGCACTATCCTTTCAGCAGCAACAAGACGCGTGGCATTGTGTGGCGCCTCTGCTGAACTGCTTTGTTGCCTTTTTTTGTTCAGCGTCGAAGAGATCGGGAAAAGGTTAGGCGAGACAATATTCGGGAGGACGCTGGGCCAGGAGGCGGGGTGGGTGTCGACAACGATGGCGGTGCCGGTTCCGGCGCCAACGGCAGCGGAAGCGGCAGCGGCAACAGCAGTCGCAGCAGCAGCAGCAGCAGCAGCAGCGGCCACCAGCCCCAAGCCACCCCAGCCGCATCGAAGCGCGGCAGATCAGGGCGCGGGGCGGGGAGGGGAGGGGGGGGGGGGGGGGGGAGAGGGGGGGGGAGGGGAGGCAAGGGGAAGGGTGCTGAGGCTGCCAGAGCTGCAGCTGGCGCTACGGGTACTGCCGAGGCTACTGCTGCTGCGGTTGCGGCGGCGGCGGGAGACGCTGGGAGAGATGATGTGGCCGCCCCCGAGTGGCTGAATCCTCTCATGAAGACCGTGCTGCCGGACTTTCAGGGCACAAGATACGCCCGATCGCGGCTGAAGCAGACCTTGGTGAGGGTGTCAACCCTACCTTGTTGTGCGGGGGTGTGGTCGATTGATGAGGGGTACGGTCTACACTAAACCATCCCTGCTACGATGAGCCAGCCGGCAATGTAGCAAAGAGCTTCAAGGCTCGGAGTACAAAGTTCGGCCGCGGCTGCAATATCGACCATGTTGAGGTTTTTGTTTTTTTCCGTGGGAGTCAGTCGGGTGGCTGTTGGTCGGGCACGTACAGAAGTTAGAGTTGATTTTTTTCTGTCTCTGTTCCTTCTTCTGGCGCGGAATTGCTGGCTGGAAGTGGCGCTTGTGGGACGATGTCCTCATGTTTCTGTGACGACGCGTAGGAGTTAACTTGAATGATTGCTTCGCCAAACACCACGTCGCGGAATACGGCGGTGCTATGCGCACTATCGCTGTGTTCTTAGACGCCTGTGCCACAGAAAGCAATGTGTCGTGGTCTTCAATTCCCTCCTCTTCCCCCCCTCGCCCTCGCACTCCCTCTCTGTCCACACTGACTCTGCCCAACCCTCCACCGGCGCCCACCTACCGCCTCTTGGCCTCTCTTGGCGCAGGCTCACGAGTGGGCTCGCCAGGAGTACCGAACCGGCATCGCTTTGGGACAGGTGGGTGTTGGGCTTGCCATCCCTTGCCGCTCCTGCTCTATGTAGAACAGCCGTTTGCCGCTCAGCGTGCCTTATGCCGCGTTCCTTCGTTGTCTCGTGGGGTCGCCCGTTTTCCCGCGCCAGATTCACGGCCGTTTATTTGCTCTATCCCCGCACCCGTCATGCTCCGTCCCGGCTTTGTAGGGATGCGAGGTCAATGGTCGAATGACTACGGCATGCCCGGCTGAGTACCCCCCCCCCCCCCCCCCCCCACCCCTCCCGCCCCTGTCTCTGCATCCTTCCTTCGCTCAGTAACCGGAAAAAGCGCTGCCCTTTCCACCCCCACCCTCTCGTTTTATGTGGGTCGCGTTGGGTTGTTTTTTGGCGCGTGACGAATACTGCCCCGCAGGTTGACCGAGGCATGACGGAGGTGGAGTTCGTTCGGAGGCGTGTGGAAGGCGGGAGCCTGTATGCCCTGCTCGAGCAAGAGTCCAGGGACTACCTCCGCGTCGGGCCGTTCACGGACGCTGATGTGGAGCTGCTGGGCATGAGTTTTGCTCAGGTGCGTTGTCGCGAAAACTGTTCAACGCTCGGTGGAGAATGGCAAGGTAGGGGCGGGCGCCGCGCAGCGGTTTTGTTTTGGTCGGACCGTTCCTTTACTCGTTACCCGGAAGGCGTAACTGTTGTTTATCCGTCCAGTGTCGCATTCATTGTAGCAGATAATCACCACCGTCGCGTGTTTTGTTTTGTTTTTCTCCCATCATTGGATTCTGTCGTCTTCCCCTCTGGCCCCTATCCTCCACTTCTACTAGCTAGACGACCCAACCGGGGTCACATAGGAGGGGGGGGGCTGGGCCCCCTCCTGCGGTTCCTACCTGAGGTATTTTTATCGCGAGAAGGGTACAGCGTGGTGTATGGTCACCGTGATTCTTTAAAATTAAACTTGTCGACACCCCCACCGTGTGTGGCGCACTAGCGGCGACGCCATGAAAATCTCAGGCGAGTAACCTCCGCGTGGTAACGGCTGTCGAATGCTCTCTTCAGTCTTCTAACGAACCAACACGCACCGCAGGCCCAGGCTTCCAAGGAGCTCCCCCCGCCGGCAGCAGCGCCAACGCCTGATGTGGCGGCGGCGGCGGAGTCGGGACCCAAATCGGCGAAGTTGGGGACGGAGAAAGCGACCAAGACGGGGCAAGAGAAGGGGGCCAAGGCGGGGAAGCAAAGCAGCGGGAAAGATGCCGCTGCAGCAAAAGCGGGTGCTGGCGGAGAACGCGGGGTTGCCTCGTGGGCCGATCGCCTGCGGGATTTCCAGATCGACATACCCGCATCTGCCACCTACGACGGGCTCGCTTCCGATTCTTCCACGGGGGGTGCTGTGGACAGGACCGACGGCCAGGTAGGGGCGGAAGCCGCGCAGAAGAGTGGGAGCCAGCAAGAGGACGACCCGTCGGCGTGGGATGGGATCGGTGTTGACGCGGCGACGGTGATCCGGCACAGGAGACAGTTCGACCTGCGCTGCCGGGCTTACGAGGTGCGGTGGATCGTGTTTTCGAAGTCTAGGGGAAGAGCGGGAGGCTCTTGGACACTTTCGCTGCGACACAACGCGCACGGCTTTCGTTGACGCGGCGGTTTTGTGTTGAGGGCTGTATTTCCTTGCCGCTCTTTATCACTGAGTACATTCGAAGAAAACCATAAATCTTCGGAAGACCTTGACGGTCAGCTCCCCCCACCCCACACGTGTCCATCCTTCCATTTCACCGGGTGCATCTGCCTTGTGCCTGTCAGGCTTTGAATACCGCCTCGAGAGACGATAAGACCAACGGGCTGTTGGAGAAGACGCACAGGCTTCGCCAGGACCACGCCGCCATCATTGCTGCAAAGGTTTGTGTGTGACCTTGTGAGCCTGTCCCGGTGTTTCGGAGTCTCTTTTCGTGCTGTAGCTGTAGTACATAGTTCTCCTGTTGTGTTACCATCGACGTGCGTGGAATACCTTTACCCTCTGTGTAGCGTCGAGATATCCGCCCAACCCTGCTAAGCGGTTTCTCCTTCTATCCGCACACGTCGCTCGTGTGTGAGTTGTGACTCTTTTTGCAATCCACCGTCCGCCTTCGACTACTGTCTTGATGTTCCCGCTCAAGCATTTCCTTGTGCGATGCGTTTCGTGAAGCCATTTTTGTTGGCTAATCGCGTACCACCCTCCCATGTTGCTGTCCCCCTCCTCCCTCTCCGCCCGCGCCCCATTGTGTCTCCCCGCTTCGTGCCGGCATCACGTGGGCCTCACGAAACGACGACAGCGAGTGACGTTGGAAGGGACTCTGCAGAACGTTCGCCAACAGCTGAACGGCCGCGAGGTGGGTGGTATTTCTCTCTCGCCCTCTCCTCCCCTCTCTACCCCTTCCTAGAGGATTTGTGTTGAGCGAGCTGGGGGCTGTTGTGACACGGTACACCCGATACAACAGTGACGTCATTGGTGTCTTTCAGATATATTACAGTGTCAAGTTGCTTTGTCAGTTGTTTCGGGCGATAGTTTCTTGGAACCCTTTGGCGATGTCTGTCCCCGCTCTTGGGCCATCTGGGCCGCTGCCACCATATCACCCTGCCACTTTCGCGTCCAGGATCAACTGCGACATGTGCACATGGAGCAGCGCGGGGTCAACCCCCTCGACACCACGGTGGTCGCGGGTCTCAACGAAAGCGAGGCCGCCATCATGACGCGCGTCGCGGAGAAGAAGGTTCAGATGGCGGTGAGTCAAGGTCCAACAGCTGACAGTAAAGGTGGTGGTTTTCGGTCATGCAAGTCAATGGTTGTGCTTTTGCGCGAGGTTTCGATGGATGCATGTCCCTATCATGTCGGCCGAAGGCAGAAACACACGCCGTTACATGCATCAGAGGCACCCAGCAAAGATCACACCCGATCGCGTCAAGAACGAGCCTCTACCAGCCTCATGTCAACTGCCGCCGTTTTTCCTTCGTACTTCTTGGATGGTTTACTATGCCAAGATGATCATCGATGAGGCGAACAAGGTGGTGCAGTGGGAGCAAACCGCGGAGCTGGCTAGGAGGGAGGCCATGCATCATGTGGCGGACATGCACGGACACGGGGGGGGCTTCGCGCCCGGGTCAGCGAAAGAGAGGAACGAGCTGGTGCAGTCGATGATGTCCCAGAAGGTCAACATCATGCTGCTGAGCACCGTGAGTTGATTTCCTTTCTTGTTATTTCGCGGTTGTCTGCGTGTTTCTTGTTTTTTATTTATCTGGATACAAGAAGGGTCTGGAAGCTTTTGTCATGCCACTGTAGCGCGACGCCTGCGCGATGCGCTGTCGTGTTTTTTTTTTCACCAACATGTTTTATTCGCATGTGTGATGTGTTGCTTGACGCCGAGCATGGCAATTTGACGCTGTGTGCGTTGCGCATGTTGCGTCTGGTTCCATTTTTTTCGTTGCCTGTGGCAACGCAATCGCAATGAGTGGAGGCGCCTCCATCGATGCTATCGAAAAACATCCAGAGAATTCTCCCAATACCTCAGAAGATAAGGTTAGATGATGCAACAGCGGTATGGATACGGTTGCATCACTTGTCGACCATGAGACCGATCGCATCCCCCCTTCACTCCCCCTCCTCGGCGTCCCATGACCGTTCTACGCCAGTTCTGCAAGCTTCGAGGTCCCTGGTTGGCGCCGTCTGGATACGTGCGGGGGAACCGCTCGGTCTCTGATGATGCCGCTGGTTCTGCCGTAGCCGCCGCGGAAGAAAAAGGAGCCGACCCTGACCCACGCACCGCGGTGGTGTCGTCACCAAACCTCAGCGTAAACACCGCTGAAAACACTGCGGCCGCCGCCGCTGCTGATGACAAGCAAGGCGAGCGTCCTCCCTCAGGCGGAAAAGATGACAGCGGGAGTGGCGGCGTAGGGGAGCCTAAGTCAAACAGCAGCAGCCCGGCGAGTGCCGCTGGCGGAATCGATGGGGCGGGCTCGGGGCCAGCGGCCGGGGCAGGGGCGAGGATAGAGGCGAAACCGGAGAAAAGACAAATTAAGCTAAGGCTCTTGCCGCCGTCAGAGGCAGGGCCGAAGGAAGAGAAGGGTGATGGAGATCCCGGTCAAGACGCTCATGGCCAGCAGGCTGGACAGCAAGCAGAGGGAGGGAGGGATGCTGGTGCGGCGTGCACAGGACCGAGTTATACCATGGCAGCGGAAGGGACTGCATCGCGAGCGGGCGACAGCAGCGGTGATGGATCTTCTTCGATGGCTGCGGTGATGGCTATGGGGGGTAAGGAGGCCGCCATGGCTAGCTTGGCGGGCGCGCGAGGTACGGGAAGTGTACGAGAACAAGACGGAGTTCATGCTGGTAGCAAGGGGGGTGGCGGTCCCGCTCCAATGGACGCCACGGCGTCGACCGGAACTGGGAATGAGGGTGGAGACCGGGAACAAGAAGCCGACCCCAAGCCAAAAGCCCAGGACACCTCTTCTCGGGCTCGACGGGGGTCTCCGTCGCCCGCTGAGGGTGGCATGGACAAGGAGGGGGCTGGTGCCGGCTCGCACTCTCCTCAACATCCACCACCACCAGCAGACGCGGGTAGTTTGAGGTTAAGTAAGGGTGGCGGTGGAGTTGGTGAAGATGTATCCAAAGGAAGCAACGGGATGGATGTGGACACCGTGTAGGTCCAGAGTTAAACGTTGAGGCGAGTGAGCGTTCATGTGTAGTGGTTGGGCAGGAGAGGTGTTTAGGAGAGCCGATGGATTATTTTCCAGAGACGCGAGTAACAGACCGAGGAAGCAAAGGCTTACTCTGGGCACGGCATGCCCGTAGACTTGACTCATGTCATAGCATGAATGTTGGGCGAATCATGTTGTGCGTGAACCTTGCCGTGATATTCAGGCGGTGCGACTCTAGAATTAGGGCCTGCAACTACAAGGTACGGATGTATGTTGGTGGTAGTTCTTGCGCGTAAAGTACGCGCATCACGGATGATGATGCTTTCAGTGACAAACACACTGTGACCAGAGAGAGGAATGGGGGAGCGTCTGGAAAGATACAGGGTGCAATTGCTGCCGTCTGCATGCGGAAACGGCAAACGTGCACAAGGCACCAAAGTCGAGGGATTGAGAAAGCTTGATATCCCACGCACAGTAGCTCAAACAACCCGCAACATGGGTCACACGTAATGACGGCGCCAGTCAGCTCTTCTTTTGCTTCGAAGACGATCGTCTTGCCCCGACGCTTTCCACGTCTTTACGTGACTGTCGTATTTCCAACCAGAAGGTGCTCAATGTTTGTCGTGTAAATGCCTCTCACCAAGCACTTGCTCTGTGAACGACTCATCACTAGCGTAGGAGGGTGAGATTCAAAATAGCAGCATCGGTCAACAAGGATCACAGGATGATTCCATCGAGGTCAACGTCTTCCCGAAACCACAAAAACCCTGTGGATGATTCCATCGAGGTCAACGTCTTGCCGAAACCACAAAAACCCTGTGCTTGTCTAACCTACCACCGCTGCTCACGCTTGAACAAAAACGCGCGTGGTTGCCGACGAAACAAGTGAGCGCCAGAGACCTCCGCGGGGATCATATCGGATCCCTATTCGTCAACAGCAGTGCATGAAGTCCCGCCCCGTCAGCGATTGTGATGTCTTAGCCATTACAGGCGCACGAGTGCAAAATGTTAGGCCCACAGCAGCATAGTGGCAAGTTATATACCAGTCTTGCGCATCATGATTGAGCAGTGACATGAAGACTATATCTGAGACACTTAGGGAACGGGATATCCTCGAGCACCAAGACCACCAGGAGAAGAACCATGGAACATCAAAGCGGATGTTTGTGGGCAAGGCCTAACCCTAAACCTCTCCATCTCTCCATCTCCATGTCGCCAAATTTGCGTCTGTTTGTTTGGTTCTTTGGTCTTCGGTGATGGGGTGGGTTGAGGAACTGCTGTTTTCAACCAATGAAATGGCTTCTGCCGTTCGTTGTCTCTCGCTCTCTCTGTTGCCCCGCGTGTCCATACGTCCGCACTCCATACATCTCCTTTCCGCTACTCCACATCCACACGACGTGTTGGGGAGAAATCAAGACCGCACCATGGCTGACCAGGTACAATCTGGTTTGTCGTTCCTCCTATCAGGAACAGCGTATCAAAACAGTCTGATGTACTTCCTCCGGTCGAAACATATTTCATTTGTCGATACAGCAGTGTATGGGTTGCGGAAGATACCACCCCCCGGGACCTATTTTTCTTTCAAATCCCGATGACTCTGCAGCACGCTGACTGTGCTGAAAAATGGTGGTGTTGGAACCTTCACGTCGAGAGCTTTCCAAAAACGCATCGTTAGATGTACAGCAGTTGTCCGTGGATTTGGAGGACTTCGAAAATCGGTCCAGGGGTGTGGTGTGTGGTATTTTATGCATCCTGTACTCTGCTGCGATGTGTACGTGTATTTTGTATTTTTCGGTCGCACAACATCAGTACCCTATAATGAATAGGAGTGTTTTCGATGGAACGTAATGCTCACGAGCACGAGCAACCCCATACGTGCTTGAAAATCAAGTGCTTATCCGACTACTCGTAGAAGCAAAGCAACACGGGCTTGTCCGTCTGCCGTGTTCCTCGAATGTCCGGAATTTCGACCAAGCACAGGCTCTTCATGACAGCTCGCACGGTTTTTCGTTTTTCCCGTCGTTACGCTATACCAGACGGCGACCAGGACGACATCGACGTCAGAGGTAAAGGAAGTGGAATTGGATGGGCGGGGAAAGTTGAAGTTGGAGGTAAATTGGGGGGTGGGAATCGGCGGTGGGCTATGGAGTACTGGCATCCTCCTGACGGAACACCTCACGAAGCATACCGCGTTATACGATCGCGTCTTCAAGGGCAAGCGCGTACTCGACTTGGGTTCTGGCACAGGCTTAGTAGGTGAGGTCGTGAAGTGGGGGTAGGGGAAGGGGGGGGGGGTTCATGCCTGGCCGTAGTCTCAGACCGCTGACTATCCCTAACCGTAACTTGACAGGTCAAACGACTACAGCAGCACCAGTATACAGCAGGTAGTGTTTATTGTCGGCACCCACCTCGGAGTCACAAAACGACTTTTCCTCAAATGCGTGTCATGTGGTCTGCGGGGCAAGTGCGACCTCTCGTTTATCTTAGCCAGTTGCACGCTGAACACGCGCGCGCGCATGCGGTCGTCTCTTCCCCTCTTGTGTTGCCCGGAAGAAAGGTCTTGCTGCGGCAAGATTTGGCCCTCCTCTTGAGGTTGTCATCACAGATTTGGAGAGCCATGTCGACATTTGCAAGAGAAACGTCGCTGCTCAAGATGACATGAGCGCACAGGCAAGCACCTGCTTTTATCGCAACAGAGAACAGTATGGTGTTGAGGGAGTACTAGTGCGGGTACAACGGGCTGTTCACCGTTGCAATCCATTGAAAAGCGATCTCGCCATCTCTAGGCACTTCACAGGACCAGCCACAGGGCACATCGGGCGCAAATCTAATCGGCCGCTTTTCGGGCAACAAAAAGCTACGAAGTACGTGTTGTTGACGACGGTGCATTTCCATCGCCTTCTTACAATATTGACTTGAGCATCTAACGGTCGAATCCATGACAGACAGCACATGCCCATGTCTGACCACAAAGGGCCTGTGTTCGGTTCGAGTGGAAGCATTTGACTGGAGCAGCGAGGTGCCTGAGGAGCTCGGCGAGGTACCGTTCGACGTGATTCTGGCAACGGACGTCGCCTACTACGAACACCTCTACGCGCCGTTTGTACAGGCGAGTGTTTGTTCTATTGTCCACCAATGATGTGGTTTAGCCTGCCTCTTTTGCCGCCCAGTTGTAGACAACGACTTGTTCTTGTAGTGGTATCGTACGTGCCAGAAGGGGTCATCTCTTTCTCCCTCCCTTCTTCCCTCCCTCCCTTCTTCCCTCCCTCCCCGCCTCCTTCTCCCGGCCGGTAGAATTTCTGGTAGAAATTTAGCACCTAGAAAGGCCTTCGTGTTCTCATCTTGGGAGGCCCGGTGTTGTGCGGCGAAGGCAGTGCATCTATTTTCCGGAGTGGAACGTGGCAACACCCACCCACCGAAACCGCCCCCCCCCCATGTCTTGGTCGTGCCTGGTGCTTGATGCTTCATGTCTGCGTCTCCGCTGCTGGTACGGAAAAGGCGCTCGAGCGCACAGCCGGGCAACACACGCTCGTCTTGCTTGGGGTCACAAGAACAGACACGGGACCAGCGTTCTTTGACGCTTTGGACAAGGTGACGAATACACACTTGCGACCCCCGCGTCATCAAGTGGGTTTTTCGTATCAGCCCCAGCTGAGTACAACAGAAGATAGAGGTTCCTAATGAAAACCTACCTTTTGCTGTGACTTCGATTGCGAGGAAGGTCGGTATCTTCAGTGTTGACAAAACACACACATGTAGATGATTTGCTACTTCGTTGGCGCAAACGGATAGGAGGTTGGGCAGCAAGAGGACTCGTGCGTGCAATCACAGATTCAGCACCGTGAAATACCCACCAACGTTTATCGCTCGCCCTAGATTATCACCACTGACTGGTGTTTCCTGTCTCCTTGGCGTGCCACATGTTTGTCTCTTTTTCGACTGTTCTGCCGGCAGGCTGGGTTCGTGTACAACCTCGTTGACCAAGCGTCGCACAAGGGCTTCGGTCTGTTCACCGTACATCGGGAGCAACTCGACGAAAAGCCATCCATGTAGAACAAAGCCCTTGAGTTCTCCACTAAATTGTTCTTCTGAGTGGTGATGCATCGTGTGAAGCCCTGCAAACATGTGTATGTTACCATCTTGGCCACCCGCGGAGGTTCGGCACAACAAACGATGAGGCGGTACACTTGGGGTGCTGCAAACGTGTTGGCGGGGTCACTTGAAATGAACCGTACAGACGGGTTCGGAATGAGAACGCATATTCGGTGGCATTCGACAGCCATGCCGGTCATCTTGTGTGGTGGCCAAACCGACCGTGAGTTTAGTTGAACTCCAACAGCAGTCAACGCATCGAGTGCGTGAAGATGGTCGAGATTGCTTCGAACACCACAGCATGTTGCGGTGCCTGTGGGCCATGCTAGCCCCGCGTCCTGGGAAATATGTATCCCACTTCGATAAATTGCTGCTTTTGTGACTGGGGGGCTCTCCATGGCTTTTCATTAATGGTGTTCCCGTAAGTTGTGGGATTGGTATTTGAGGCCCCGGGCTTCATGCCATCTACCGCCGGCACAACATGGAGAGCCTACTCTCCACACAGACGCTGCAAAAGTGCCGCAATTCCCATATTCACATGCCCAGCGGGTTTGGCATCATTTGGATCTGACCTACCAACTTTTGTTTAGTGGCGTAACAATGATCATGTTGGGAGGTAGTTGTGCGTTGTGTGCTGATGAACACTCGTATGCTAATTTAAAAGGAGCATCATCTTCGTGATCGCGCACGTGCTCCCACCCAAACAAGTTCGAAGATCAGGCGCGGGCTTGGTGATAACGGTTTTCCAGAAACTCAACCTCGTCACATCTTCCTTCGTGTGTGGCGAGAGCTTTGTTCGGTTGGCGACCCCTCTTCATTTTTGATAGCCTCGCGCGGAGATGGCTGACTCTCCTAGTAGCCCAAATGTCATCGGAACAAAAACGCAAGCAAGCACACGGCCAAAACACTACGGCCAACGGCTACGATAGATAACGTACCCGCCGTGCGACACCCTCTCTACCAGCAAATCCCGAGCAGAACCAACTGCTGGCGCAACACACCACCAGCCCATGCAAACTTTGGCTAGCAAGCACAAGCACGGAAGGGCGCTCGTGGTTAAAGGTGAAGCACGTGTCCATGTCCATGTCCTCGAGACAACCTGCAACTGTCGTTTCGATGGTCTTACAGACGGCGACCGCGGCGTCCACCCTTCCGGCGGGTGCAGTCAGTGGGGATCGGGGTGACATCTTCGATGCGGCCGATCTGGATCGAAAGTGCAACAAGGATCGAGCGCGATCGGCGGGGGTGGTTGGCGTGCAATGAACGTTCAGACATAACGCAAAAGAATGTTGTGTTGGGGGTGTTAACCATCGACCATTTTTTTTCCCTCTTTGGCACCTTGTTTCCTCTACAAGCTTCGTGATGAGCTGCTCCCGGCCATGACACTTTGTCGGGCTAGTGCGGTTGCCATCCACTCATGGGGTTGGAGCTTTGAGATGAGTGAGGCGAAACCAAGGACCGCGAGGGAAAATGCGCAAGGGACGCGGGCCCGAATAAAACTATCTAGACCTCTGCTAGACGTCGCAATACGGAGTACCACTTCACATGACAAAACAACGGCGTCGCAACACGGGGAAATCTGCTCTACGCTAACGCAGGTCGCAAGGGACAATCCCTTGTTTTCCTCGCGAGCGCTGTGTGTGCCGTCACCTTCATTCCTGCGCGAGCAAGAGCGCGGAGGGCCGACTGTGCGCCGGGGCCGGGGGTCTTGGTTTTGTTGCCGCCGGTGGCGCGCATCTTGATGTGCAGGGCGGTGATGCCCAGCTCCTGCAGGCCACGCACACAAACCCAAGCAGCAGAGAGGAAAAGCACCAGCGTGGAAGGGTCGTGCCGTGATTGGTTCTGGCATCGTGCCCGCCAACAAATCTAACCGTGACCTTGGATTTGTCAAGTCAAGTAATGGCACCTCAGATGGGCGGCGGGGACGCGAGGGGCTCTGTGTATTGCACGATAGGCACGGCTTAGGTTGGGGTGCTGCTTGGATGAACTAAGCTGTAGTTTCGGGTCCTTGTGCACAACATGGGATACGAGAGGAAAAGGAGCAGAAGCGGGCACAAGATAAGCTCTGGCTGAGGCCTCCAACAAACCAACGCTCTACCACAGCAGGTCGTAATTGAACCACGCGCGGCTGACGGAACCGTTTGGAGCACCACCAACACGCGACCAACGAAGGGCGTCATGCACGATATTCTTCTGGACGGGGATACCTCACTTTCAAGGGATGCAAATAATCGGAAACCCTGCTTGAGCGAAAGATAAACGAACAATATTTACGAGCGCGTCGAGCTATCCGAAATGAACAAATTGCAACAGAACAGCGTAGAGCCTGGAAATGCACAAGCTGTGTGCAACGCGCCACGTGCAGGGTACTCGCGCAGAAACGCTCACGATCGACATATTGGTCATACTGGGGTTTTGCACAGCACGACGGCTGACAGCGCCCGCACGAGCGCACAGCGACGTAATATCGAATAGATGCAACGGTTCGAAGGTGCCGAGCACGTGCGAGATTCAAATCCTCGTTCGCGTAGTCGCGACACCTTTCATTGCTGCTTCGGAAATTATGCATTCCAAACTGTGCGAGCAACAAAATGTAAACGTGGGCACACAAACCTCCAAAGGTGCTCGTGTGTAGAATACGAAAGCGTCGTACTCAAACTAGGTACCCACACCCCAGGCACCACAGCAGCTGCACGAAGGCAAACGAGAAAAGCTGCTCACCTTGCAGCGGGCAGCCACGTCCTGTGCGGCAAGCATAGCCGCGTAAGGGGAAGCCTCATCGCGGTCAGCCTTGACCTTCATGCCGCCGGTCACGCGGACCATGGTTTCCCTCCCCGACAGATCCGTGATGTGCTGCACGTTACGTTACGTGTCCAACCAAGGGGGCGAGAAGAAAGAGGACCGCCGAGGGGGATGGACAGGGGAGGATGGTTTTAGAAGGCTAAGCACAACACCAGAGTGTCCGACGTTTCAAGCCAACGCTTGTGGTGATCGTGTGATCGTCTTGAGGAACCCAACAAAGATGTAATGGTTTTCAACTGAGCATGTGCTCCGATTTCTGCAACAACGGGTCATGAGGGACAGCGGTACCGGATACTGACAGGAGACCAAGACCAACCCCAAAAACCAGGCAAGGGCATTGAATACCAGCACTGCATTATGACACACGCGATCAGCCCGGTAGAGCATTATTCTAATGGCCTTGTGTGAGCCACGAAACCAGGATATTTGGCTTCAACCAGGCAATCTCGGTGCGTGGGGGCGGATAGAGCATCACATGCAAAGTTAACAAGATGCCACACCCGCGCTGTACAAAAAAAAGATATCCCTTGAGTCCCACTTCGTAGACTAGGACCCTCACCCCGTGATTGTCAACTGTCGGTTGCTTGCAAGGCGGTACGATAGCTTCTGGAGGGCCGTTGCCGACAAACCCTGGTCTAAATGGAACCAATCATGAGACAGCGAAAGATCGGCGTGAGATGACGGGGGTTCTAGTAGCCCGTGCTACGGCGTGGCAACTGCTTTCTGCGACAGTATCGTTCACGGAGCGACGGACGAAATGAACGTATCGATGCCGCTGAACACCGTTCGAATCGCCTTGAAAATCGATAGAAACTCAATACAGCGGAGTTCAAGCTGTTGAGTACATATTTTTCATGTTTTCAGCAACGGGTCGCATAACCATTCCTGACAGACAACTACAGTAGGCGTACTCACGACGAAGGTGTCGTTGAACGAGGCGAAGATGTGCGCGACGCCGAAGACGTTCTCTCCCTCCGCAACCTTGGGGCCGAGGGTAACCCTCTCCTCCACCTTGTCCTCCTTCGTCTTCTTGTCCGCCTGTCGATTGATTTAGTTAGTCACACCAGGCAACGCCAATTGAGATAACGCACGACCTGTCAACTATAAATACCAAGAACCGCGGTGCAAGGCTACTTTGTAGAGTGTGTTTGCTCAAAGCGCCACCAGAGGATGCGCATGGAAAATGTAGCCGTAAAGCTAGAAGTGAGACTCGGAAGTAAACAGCAGCTACGGAGCAGGCGATGGTTGTTCGCAGGAAAGGCACTTAGTGTAGGCAACTGGGTGCTCCCGTACGCTTCGCAGACGCCAAGTTGTTGGGCCCTCCCTCTTCACGAATTTGTACCCCGATGTTCTGCACGCACATTTGAGCGTGAACAATACACATTAGAATAAATAAGCTGTGTGCCGCTGACAGCATTTGGTATCGGTTTCAACAACAGAGCTACCAAAAGGAGTATACATAGCGGTATCTTGGGCTACATGTAGGGATGTAGTCTCGCTGTATCCGTCCGATGAACGAACGACCCTCGGGGTGTCCGGCACGTGTCTTACAAACCCAAATATTTACAAGTACTCCCGCCAGGCCTTGCTGTTACTGTTGCCAGTTGAACCAGCTGCAAAACCACCTCTACCGTAGTGGCGCGTGACGAAGACTCGCCGGGGATGGCATGCGGGCGGTGGCACTTGCTCACTCAGCGTTGCTATTCAACTCCAAACACATCAGTCGTCTACATGTACTGCTGATGGCGTGTCGTGGAAGTCTACTCCACGGCTCGTGATTTGTGATACGGAAGTGTGGCCTTTCTCCGACGCTTCTTTCACATCTCCCTTTCTTGAACCGTCCCTGTACGACAACATCCCAGCAGCGGGCGTGAACTTACTGCACTCGCTGGGCCCTGCCCTGCCACCTTTTATTACCCGCACCCTAGCCACTCAGCTACAGGTCGCCTTGCTGCTGCTCAGGCACCAGCTGCATGAGAAGCAAACAGCAGCTGCGCCGCGGACGAGAGCAGAATACAGAAAAACCACGAGCCCATACATCACTTTGCGCTCTTCCTCCTCGGTGGTACGACTCAACGATCAAATACCAAGGCACTCCTGACTTCGGCGACCCAGCCTCCTCTGCTGGGTCCAGGAATCAAACCGCTGTGTTTGTCGAAGCGGCATGGCCCATCCATTCCCCTTGCCTCTGCTGAAAGCTCAGCTCTGGTAGAATCGCGAGCCTTGCATGGGGCTGCAAGCAAACGTTCAGGGAGAATACGGGACACAAGCATCTACTCACCATGATTGAAACGAGGTGCCTGCCGCGGAGGGGAAAGCTGCCAACCTGTGAGAGAGCGCCTGCCCTCCATTCGGGACGAGCGAGCGGGGGGCTCGCAGACAGGGTTTACTTCAGCAGCAGTGCCCCATCGCATCTTATCGATTGATTCTGCGTCACTCCCGAAGCATCTGTGTTGTCAAAGGTTTTGTGGTTTGTGCACATTGATTGCGCCATGGACGGACCGGGCTCGTCGACCGGCGAGATCTCTGTACTTGGCAACAGTCGGAGCTGGTGAGCGTGAGCCGTAAGGATTATGGAGCCAATGTGTGATGTAGACTCGTGTATTTTGGTCACAATGAACTCTTTTTTGTTTTCTCGACAGATTTTCTGATCCCCCGCAATCAGCTGCCCGCAATCAGTGCATGTGCTGAAGATCATGGCACCACACCATGCGTGACAAGCAGGTTGTCGCAGAGTTCAGACGTCATACGACACGCACTATTTAACAGCATCACTTCACTCGCTGGGTATACAGCATGACGCTTCACGAAGGCCAACTGTTCTGAATCAGGTACCTACTGCTCTGCCTGGGTGGGTTGCAAACGGTTGTCAAGGCGGAGGTGAAGCGGCACCTGGAAGCGTCTCGACAGGAAGGAGACGTTCATGTGTTCGAGGAAGATTTCGGAGGTGCGGCATACCTACAAGGCGCTGCAGAATTAACTTTACGTCACACCTATTACTGTTATGATGACCATGAACTCGATCCCCTTCGTACCTGCATTACAAGCTGGGCCAGCCAAGTTGCATGCAAAATGGTTGATAACGATTTACACCACGATTTCTACGAAATAGAACCTGAAATTCAATAGGGTAGTCCTCTGTGTACCAGTTTTTTTGACGGACACAAAACGGGACGGTTAGCAAAATGACGGTACTTTCTTGGCGGTTGACGGTACTTCGTTTCTTTGACGGTACCACTTTTGGCGGTTCACGGTACCGCCGAATTTGCCGGTACTTTTTTGGCGGTTCACGGTACTTCGTTTTTTTTACGGTACTTATTTGACGGTACCGCAATATGACAGTACCTTTTTGGCGGTTCACGGTACTTCGTTTTTTGACGGTACATACCTGTTTACTTTTAGCGGTTCACGGTATTTCCTGGAAAGACCGCGCCACCGAGACGAGATCAAATCGTCAAATTGAGAAACTGACAAACTGACAAACTGACAAACTGAGCAGCCACACGGAAACATGCGACACGAAATTATGGAACACGAAAATAAAAAAGATGGACAGATAGATGCGATCGTAAACCAGGAACATGCCAAGACGACAAGGCGTACTCTCGAAGAAATCAAGAAGAAAAGAAAAAGAGCAATAGAAAAAGAAAACCAGCTGAGTCGACTTGTAGCTCCCGCGGCCCCATGCAAGCCCAGACTTCTGCTGTCACCCGTAGCCGCTTTCGTCTACAGGCTAAGGTCAACCGTTTGGTCCGCCCACTCCTCCTGAGCAGCAATTGAGCTCTGTGCGGTCTTGGTTGCCGTAGCTTTCGCCTGCGCGACTGCAGCGTCCAGCTCGCGGACCTCGGCGAACAAGTAACTGTTCAGCCTGATGAACATCGTGCGCTCAACCTTGCTTGGAAGTATGTTGCGGCGTAGTTGGTCAATCAGGTGGGCAAGCGCTGAGAAATTGCGTTCGGCCTGACAGCTGGTGGCCTCGATCCCGAGGTACAACCGAGCGATGAACGCTAGGTAGGGCATTTCTGCCGGAGATGTGACCTTGGCAGTCGTCGGGGACACGCTGCTAGTGTCCCGCCTATTCCAATCCCCCAGAACGTTGAAACCTTGCATGTCGAGCTGTGGCTGCTCGGCCAGGTACAGCAATACCTCTCGTTCGATCAGCACGCGCCGGCCCGTGGTGGGAGACCGAGTCTGGAGAGGAACGCTCTCATCGACGCCGCCGGTAGCTGCCGCCAGACGTGCCGCGCGCCGTTCCTCCAATCTCGAGACCTCCCTATTCTTGGGTGCGGATTCCGCCGGGTCCGTGTCCACCGGAGCTGGCGCTACCGCTGGCGCCGCCGTAGACTCGGTGGACGGCCCGACGTCAAACTTGGCGATGACCGCCTTCAAGTCGTCTTCGGCCTTCTTCCTGAGATCTGCAGAACCGTTCTCGAGTTGGTCGCTGCCAAGCAACTTCCGCCACGGGTCCATCAACGCGGACAGACGCTCCACAGCAACCTGAGCGCTCCCCACCCCCTTCTCTCTCATCACGTCCAGTAGCACCTCGAGCACGCACTGCGCCTCCGCGGTCAGGTCGGTCACCTGGGTGTCGTCCGTGGGGATGCCTTCCTCTGGGACCGGCACAACAGTGGCGTTTAGCTGTCGGATTGGGTGGGTGTCCTCCCCCAGCATCTCGATCACCTCGTGAATGATGAACATCGCCTGGCCGATGTGGTATCCACGGACCCTTGCATCCGTATGGTGATCTCGGAAACGTCGGTCAGGAGGCTGCACACCTCATTGATGATGGTCCACTCGTTCGGTGTCAGCTTTCGTTCTGGGGGTATTTCTTGAAGTACTCGGAGATGGGCTTCTTGCAGGCTAGGGCACGATCCATCATCTTGAACTGGCTGGCCCACCTTATCATGGGGACAATAATTTAAAGAATTTGCAAAAGGGAACATCGTCGGACAGCGGAAAGTGGGGGCGGGGCGGGTTGAACAGAGGTGGAACGTTATTTGTTATTTGTTGTTTCAATTCGCCACAAACCGCAAATCACAAAATCACGAATCACATATCACATACTTCGGAGTACACTAATCACCTTGTGTCGTTTCGTCTGAGGAGCTCGTAGATGCGTGAAAAGCCTCTTCCAGCCTCTGGAGTTCCTTAAGCTCGTCGTTGTTGTCGGCGGAGTGGCTGAAAACACCAACCATCGCTGCCAGCTTCTTCATAAGTGTGCCCATCGTTGGGTTCTTTCTCCCTTTCCCGGCTATGCCCAACGCCCACACGACTGCGGTGTTGACGCGGTGGCAGTTGCACTCGATGACAGTAACACCCAACGCCGTACACGCGTTGATGATGTTCTTCCCTTGATCCACCATAAACGCGAGGAAGACGTCCGATGGCACCACAGACTCGCCCATGAATCCCGAAAAGTACTCTAGCGTGAGCTGCGAATTGCAGGGCGTGACAACGGATGGGACACGATTAAGAAATAGATAACAAATAGATAAAACTTAAGAAAAAATACATCAGAAAAAAAGTTCTCTCATGACACCATTTCAACATTTCAACATTTCAACAGAGTACCGTAGTTCAACAGAAGAACGCAAAAAGAATAGCGCCTCACCTTCTCAATCCAGGGCTGGATGTCCTCGGCAGTGTGGCTGCCGGGAAACGCTCGTGTCGCAAGCGCGATGCGGGTGATGTCCGTGTTGCCCTTCTTCACGAACGTTACGGCGAAGGTGATGTATTCCTCGCCGCCCGCTGTGGTAAGATCCAGCTGGGCACCAAGAACGGGTCCCGAATACCCCATGCCGAGGTTGTCCTCTCGTAGGGTCCGCAACTCGCCGACGACGGATGAGAGTACCGTGCCGTAAATCTCGTTCAAGATCTGGTTTATCGTGTCCTTCGCCATTGTGGTTTTCACGTACTCGGGGGACAGAGACCCCAAGAAGAGCTTAAACCCTTGGTCGAACCGCACTTGCTCCGGCCTCAGGTCGATGCAGCACCAGAGGACGAAACGGCGGTCGGCCGCTTCCCTCTGTTGTTTGGTCATCGTCGGCACCATGAAACTCTTTAGCGACGATGAGCTCGGTGCGCCTGCTGATGGACCTTCTGACCTCGGTGCCCTTGCTGATGAACCCGCTGACGATTTCCCCGTTGTATCACAGAACACCCACCGGAGGACAAGACAAATCAGAAAGTCAGAACGCAAGAAGGTCGAGCAGGGTCATCGTGACTGTATTATATATATATTTTTCGCATTCTTGACTGAAGAAGTAGTGGACGAGTGCTACAATTAGGAGCACTTGGTGTTAAACCTGCTGTATATTATATTTTTTGTATTTTCAGCTGTGTATTATGTATTTTCTCAGTAATTTCGTGTATTTATACTACGTGTTTTGTATTTTTGTATTTTTTGGTAGTTGTAAATGTTCTTGTGGGTTTGTTGTACACACCAAGCTTCCCTCACCCTTGCAGATCTAGCGACATACAATCCGCAAACCTCTACCTTTCTGCGTATACATGTTCATAAGTTTTGCTAAGGGAGGTTGTATTCCCCGTTTTTCGTTCTACTCCTCACTCCTCTAGTCTTGGGCAAAAAAAAAAAAAATCACCGATTGCCGCTAGAATGGGCGCTTTGGGGTCCTGGTCTGCGCCGATTTCAGCCTTGTATTTGTCCACCTCGACCTTGTGACCTGTCTCGAGGTGCTTGGAAACGCCAGAAGTTCCCGACCCTTTCCCTTTCTTGCCGGTTGCTGCTGCGGTTGCTGCTCCTTCCCACTTCATGAGGTGCTTGCAAGTTGTCCCATCAGCCTTCTTCGCCATACACACCACGTTCTTCCCGCTGATGGACGGGCTGAATCTACTCACAAAGTGCCACGTCCAAGATGTCAACCTCCTTTTGCCCTCCATAGGCTCTTCAAGTGTGACTTGCACGGTTTTGCCTTTGCCAGCGTCGACCGAGGCGTGAGTCTCGGTTGGGGTTTGCAACACTCACAAGCACTTAGCCACCGATTCACTTGCATTCCCACCCAACGAATCGCCAGCAGCACCAGCACCCTCGACACTACTGCTGTTAGTACTACCGGCGTTCCCCTGTACAGCTGCCATCTTTCTGGTTCTGCTGGACCGCACGAACTCTGGGACCGCGTGTGTGCGTGTGTGGCTGCAGGCCGCGGTCTTGCGACCATCAACTCCGCCTCTTCCCAACTCAAGAGGTTCTACCGGAAAGCAACAAACCAGAACGATAGAACCAAACGAAGACAAAGAGAAACAGGAAAAAAAAGAAAAAGCAGAAAAAAAAAAGACAAGACAAAAAATAAACAGGACGCTGGACTTGAACTCCACTTACTCTGTTAGAATGTCAATAAATCATCAAGTGACCAGCGAATGACGCTGGTAGACTCCTCTCGGTACTTTCTGACGGTACCGCAGCATGACTGTACTTTTTTGGCGGTTGACGGTAGTTCGTTTTTTTTACGGTACTTTTTTGACGGTACCGCAATATGACGGTACCACTTTTGGCGGTTGACGGTACTCCGTGGTTTGACCTTACTTTGTCGGCGGTTTTGCAAAATGACGGTACCTTCTTGACGGTTGACGGTACGTTGCTTTTTTGACGGTACTACTTCGGCGGTTCACGATATTGCGAAATATGACGGTTTTCCCGCGGAGTACCGGGACCGACCTACATGACGGGAAAAAAACCTCGGGAATTTTCCCGAGGACGACGCTGGAAAATTTTGACATGTGGTCGGTATTAGTACAACCAAGACCTTGACTGGAAGCACCCTTCTTTTTTTTTTCACGAGGTAGCCCTATCATAGGAAAAATGGTGATCCTTTTTTTGTGTATAGGTGGACTAAAAAAAAAAAAAGTGCTTCCAGTCAAGGTCTTGGTTGTACTAATGCCGACCACATGTCAAAACGTCAGATTCCAACTCGTAAAAGTCGTGATGTAATTGCGATAACCTCACTTTTCCTTTATCTTATGTGTTGTGTCGGATTCTGTACGAGGCCATATCTCTTGGTAGAAGATGGTTTGAGCCTTGTAACAATCATCATTTTTCTCGCACTGCTCCCAGGTAAGTGCACACCAAGTTTCAGCTTATTGGGTGTAACTTATTTTATGCTGATTTCAGTACCGGAAGTATCCCCCCCTACGCCGCCAACTGATGGTTAAGTACCTTAATCAACTCAGATTCGAACAGTTCTGGCACCTGCGCTTCCCATACTGTCTCATGAGAGCAGCCAAAAATTTTCAAGCCCAAATTCGTGGAAACGACAGAATGAGACTCGAACGAACGAACGAAAGTGAGCTTTTCGCCTGGCCCAGCTTGTATTGTTGACCGAAAAATGAAGCAACCCATTACAACTCACTGCATGGAAACTGCTGTGTCCTTACGTAGCGCACCCTCAAATCCATCCGTCCTCAATGGCAGCAGTGAAGTACATTTTTTTAGGAGAGTTTTCTTCTCTGCATGCCGCTGCTGCTTGCTTTTTTTGTTATTCAAAAACATTAACATTACTGCGCTACAGCTGTAGACTAAATTACAGCGCACGAAGCGTACATACCTCGTTTAGCCTCTCCGTATCCGCCCGCCACGCTACAACAGCGACACATTACGTGATGACGAAAACCAGGAGCGCCAGACCAAGTCGAAGGGGTTCACTCCGGCCAGGCGGGTTGCGGGAAGCTGCTGGTGGCGACCGATGCTCCGCCCGAGACCCTGAGATCGCTTCGTTGCGTCCAGGTATGATATGTGACATATGTGACTTTTGTAATCACAGGTAAAGTAGTCTCCAATGCATTTTTCTATCACGAGTGGATGTGCTCGCATGCTTAAGCAGCAACCTACTATTGAACGACCACCTCACAACGCAATAGTGGTCGTGCCTGTCTATTTTTGCGCGTTTTGTCTTTGTGTTTGATACGGCGTATTTGCGTGTGCCTATGTACCGACCGTAGTTACGGTGAAGCCTCGCGTCGTGCTACGTGCCACTGATACCCACCTACACGTCGCGGACGCGGTTGTTAGCTTTTGTTCGCACCGCAGAACAATGCAGAACAGGATTAAAGGAACACTCATCTGAAGTACATCGACTAGGACTAGCTTATAGTAACGCTCAGGCATATTTGCGCAAGCGCGAGGCGTTAGTGCGCGGCAGTGAGCATCACTCCTTTGTTCCCATCCCATAAGGCTGCCGTCGAACATACATCCCGGACGACCCATCGCTCCCGCCCTTAACCGGTGCATACGCCAAGGGCTTGTTCGCCCTCGTCGCGCACTCCGCAAGCTTGGACATCACGAGGATTCCTCGACAGGCCGCCGAGTCCACGTCAACTTCCTCCCCGCAGAAGATTGCCTCTGGAGCAGCCCCAGCGGAGGACCCCAACACGACAGAAGCCGCGCTTGCTCGCTTGGAGTCCCTCGTGACGGACTCCCCCCTGTGGCCTGCGGCCATAAACGTGTGGAAGAGTTTCAAGGTTTCACAGGCACGGTCGACGGAAGCAGCAGCTGCTGGTGCTGGGGATGTCAGCGGTACTGAACCGAGAGATTGTCCCGCCTTGGGTGAGCCCGGCCAAGAGGAGGAGGATGCGCCGCGAGCGGTTGGCGATATTGACGTCGCCGGCATCAAGTTCCGGGCGTCTGTGGTGCGGGATGGGCAGCACCCTTTTAGCTCCGTCGAGGCGTCGCCAAGGCTCGGAGGAGCGGTGTGGTCCGTGAACCGTGGATGGACCGTTGATTTAAAGGTGCGGATTGGTGGGTGGAGGACTTTTAGTGAATGACGTGTCGTGATTGCTGCGCCGCGTGTGTTGGTTCGCAAGCGGAGGGAAGGGAAGGCTGGCCGTACGTGTTCGGCTTCCTGCCTAGGAAAAACATCTGGGATAGGAGACTTTGAGGAGCCTTCGGCTTCGGCCCTAGGTGCCTTTCGCCACGGGTGGGAACAGCTGGTGCTGTTTTGTTGTTCCCCGAACGCTGTCTTGCACTCGTCATGAGGTTGAGGTCGTTTATACTGACAGCAGGATGTCCCTCTCTCTATGGGCCCCTCGCCTCTACTTCGCTTTGACGATTGTCCTGACTTCCCAGGGGTATGATGTGGAGGTAGTGGCCTTCATTTTGGAGAGGGGTGTGGCTGTGGGGCTCGCTCTCGACGGCGACCGAACCAAGCGTTGCTCTCACGGTGAGATGCTAGTGGCCCGCCCTCCCTCTCCAGTGTAAACTATTCGACCCTGCACTGTTGGTGGTATCTGACGGCCTCAGTGACGAAGCTTTACGGAGCTGCCCCCGGTAAATCATTTTGTGTAGCTGCAGCTGAACGGCAACGTTCTGTTCTCGTCAACATGCTTGGACCACTACATGCGTGTGATCGTGTCGCACTTGTTGAAGCCACGAAATTTGGCAAAACGTCAAATTCGAGATAGGAGCGCAATTTCAGAACGCTTCCCCCATCCTTAAGCACGCGTCGCTACAGCGCCAACAAACTTTCCCGCTTGACCCTGCAGGTCGCGTTCCGAAAGAAGACAAGGGTTTCATAGAGACCGGGAAGCGCATGTCATCCCTCCGACCGAGTACCGCGTACCTCATGCTTCGCATGGCGGAACCTGTGGTCGGGGACGTGATTGTCGACTGGTGAGCAACATGCACCGTCCTTGATGTTGGTTGCTTCGTGGGGTTGGAAAGCTCCTTTTCCCGAGAGACGCAAGGCGTATGCGGGCAACCGTCACGCATCACCGCGTTGGCTACAGGGTGGTACCGTGTGTTGCTCTTCCTGACAGCTTGCGTACCTGTGCGGTTACCAGCTCAACACTCTGTTCCCGTTTGGTGTCGAGTTGACATAGCCATGGCGTAAGCCCGGCACCTTTGTGGTAACGACAACACAAGGTGCGCAGTGCTCGAGCCAACTAGCTCTCCCGCTGTACTGTTTCACCTCTTCAACGGAAGCATGTGTGGCGTAGGGACGATCCCTCTCTTGGGCGCGGGCTGGTTCCCGGGCGTGTGTTTGGTGGGAGGAGAGATCGACGACAGCGCTATCGATCACCTGCGGCGAAACGCCCAGTCCTTGAGGCGGTCGCCCGCTGGCCGAGCAGGGGCTGCCGGTGGTGCCTGCGCGTGGGATGCTCAGTCACTGCCTCTTCGCGATGGCTCGGTGGACGCGATGGTCGTTGACATGCCGTTCGGTCAGTCTTGCGGCACCCCGAGACAGAACGCAAGGCTCTACCCTTTGGTGATGGCCGAGATGGCGAGGGTCCTGCGTCCTTCCGGGCGTGCCGTGCTGCTCGTGACGCAGCCCCATCTCCTTGGAGTGTCGGGACTGCGGCGAGATAACCAAAAGGACAGGAAGAAGTTGCGGAAGATGGCGACACAAGAGAGCAGGGTCGGCGATCGGGGGCATCATGACCTCGGCGGGGTTATCGAGGGGAGAGCAGCACCAGAAGAGATCGGGTTGGGCGAGAGGTACGGGGAGAGTACATCCCAACAAGCCGGTAGTATCAATAGCAGCAGCGATGGAGGCATGAGCAAAGATGTTGCCGGCACAATGGGTCACGGGGTAGAGAACGTCACCAAGCGAGAGAAAGAAGACGTTGACCCAAGCGATTCCGGAGACCGGGCGTCACCGGCGCCAGAAAAGGGAAAACATGGTTGTCCTCTGGGTGACAGCGAGAGAGGCGGAGCAGCTGCTGCACCAGGAGCTCTGTGGCGCATCAGGGCTCGGCATGCGGTGAACGTCGGGGGTTTGATTTCCCACCTGCTGCTTTTGGACCGGACAGACGAGCCTCCGCGCTCGCCGCGCGTAGACCGACGGTACCGTGTGGTCGGGGCGAAGGCTTACTGCAAGCGGCATCATGAAGGGGGTGCTGTGTCGTCATGATGGCCATGACCAACGGCCGAGCAAATTTGTAGGCAAAATGCTGCATGGTGCCGATGGTATTGATTGGGTTGCTATGGAGGAACGCGGCGTACGGTTGTTATTTGCCTTGTGCGACAGAGTAGAAGAGACGCGATTCCTGATTGTTTTGGGCGCTGTATTCACCAGCAGCCAGAGTTTTCTCCTCTGTGTATCGTACAACGTATCCCCATGGTGTTGCAGCTACTGAAAAACCCAGATACCATATCCCGGGCTGGTGGTGGGTGAGAACGAAACCAATTTGCCCATGTGACGACGATCTGACATTGCGCTTAAAGCTCATGCGAAGCATCGTAGACGAATGGGTGAAGGGTGCGAGTCAACCTTAAACAGAATGGCCGTTATCCGGTGCAACAAAACAATGTTCACCGCAACGCTTGCGGCGTTATCTCTCTCCTTGCCGAATCGACAAAACAAAAGAAACACCACCAACGAGGTTAGCTACTAACCTCACCTGCCAACACGAAGACGAGTAAAAGAAAACGAAGAAATGCTCCACAGAACCACCGATCCACCGAGTCTACTGATGAAACCAACACTATCTTAGGTTATGTCAGAAGTGACCGAGCGACTGTGAAACGAGATGGCGAAGCCACAAACAAATCTCGTTTCACAGCTTCTTTCTCCTCCTTACCTACAATAACAAACTTACCCTAAGGCTTAAAAAACATTCCTTCCAGCGCCATGCCTAGCTTCCGTATCCAACCACCTGCACACTGTTTTGTACCACAGCACTTGCTCCTTTGCCCCCACTATAAAATTACGAAATACAACACTGCCAACACGTGATACCCTTCCCTATTCGCTCGCTCCCCCCCCCCCCCCCCCCCCCCCCCCCCCCCCCCCCCCCCCCCCCCCCCCCCCCCCCCCCCCCCCCCCCCCC